GAAGAGCGTCGTACGACGAAAATCGGATACAGTGTGAATCCAGCATAAGGATATACAAATCGACACTTTGCGTGCATTCGTTTATGCAGCGGTTAGCGCAATAAGTATCATTTAATCTTTGTTCAACACTCGGTGAACAACAAGGATAAAATAATACTTCTGCGCTAACCGCTGCATAAATGAATGCACGCAGTATAAAGGCCGTTCTACAATAAGTTGCAAACACCCCGTTACCAGTCGCAAAGATTGGCAACTACTAATTACAAAGTGCTATTTCTGGTTGCAATAAATAGTCGCGGTTGCCAATGGAGAGTTGCCCAACATTTAACTCCTTGGCAACAGCAACTATCTACCGTAACATCTTAACCAATCAAATATTGTGTTCGAAAAGCGCGAGGAGTGAAATAAAAGTTCTTGTGATATATCGGTGGTGTTTGATTTATTTCATTTTCATTTCGAGAACATCTCGAATATCTGTCACATAACCTTCTTGATATATTCTCTTCGATTTTTCGGCTACAGCAAATAACGACAGAAGTTCTACTTTCTGATTGGCTGTTTCTATACAAATCGCAACTTTCGACATCCAAATGTGGATTAGGTGTTGCAATGATTTACAACTTGTAACTGGCAACTTGTCACTCCGCAACTGGCAACGGGGTGTTGCAACTTATTGTAGAACGGCCTTAACACACTCGAACGCAGTTTGCCACACTTAAATGGAACGCGATATGTGCAGTGTGTGTATCGTGCATAGATTTATAAGATAGACGGAGCATCCGTACGAGAGAAGCTGAAGACGTGATAGAAAGAGACAGAAACAGATGCGGAACAGTTCTCTTCTTTTCTAGTAGTGAATTGATTGGTCGCCGCGGCAGGCTGGGAAGTAGCCGAGAGCAACAAAAATAGACGTTCAAGAGTTGTGGCCTTACGCTCAAGCTAATCGGTCCCCCACCGCTCACTGTGAAAGAGGGAAACAACTATGTCTGGAGTAGAGCTGTGCGTACGAACTTTTAATACCTAACGTTAAAAGATTTGAATTTTGACCTTAACGGGCACACGAGATCCGGGAT